TAAGGCACAAACAGAGTTAGCTCGCTAGCTTCTATCTAAATACAATATAGCATGTCCTGACTGCGGGGTTTTGGAAACAAATTAAAACGTACAGCTCTGTTATCACTTCCAACATAAATGAAGACAGAAAACTAAACAGCAGTGACGTTTGTAGGGTTACTGAAGTTGGCTAGCTGGTATATAATGATGTGCTACGTGACCGCTAGCGACACAGCTATGTTAGCATAATATAAACAAGCTAACTTTTTTTCCACTCGATAAAAGTTAACGTGAGTGTTCTCGGTGGTCAGGAACAAATGTAATCGCATGGCAGGATGCTGTAAAAGGACCAAACTTCAGCCAGGAGAACAACTGAGATAATCCATCCACAATACGAGGTTAGTCATTCATATACTGCTGCATGGGCTGGGCTGTAGTTACATCCTAAGGTTTTAAAAACTGAGCTTAAATAAATGATTAGCGGTAATAAAAGCCGAGGGAGGTCAACAGTGATCACTGACTGTTTTAGGAGCTTTTTGAGATTAAATAGAAGAAAATACAAAACATTAAACATGTTAACAACACAAAAGCCATATTAATGCTCCACAGTATTGTGCCTGCCTCTCTTACGTATGACATCAACTTATACGACAAGATTATTTTGATAGTCGACTAGTCACCGATTATTTTTGCGATTAGTCGACTAATCAGATCATCATCCACTGGACGTAAAACTACAGCTTATTGCACCAGCAGCATCTGCTCTTATATAACTATCATTAGCTTACAGCTTTAAGTGTTTAAGGTGCTAACTAAAAATAAAGACAAGATGATAGTTTATTAAATTTTAATGAAATTTGCAGATTGTTTCGGTGAAGTTTAATAAACTCCTTGCTATCTAAAATATAACAGGACACCGGAGTAATTCTCCAGCATCTCACACTTCTGATAATCAGCTGTCTGCTTGACGTTTATTCAGCTGTGTAAAAACTATAACTTTAATCTCAGCCAAACCGATTTACTCAGGAACAAATAAAATACTAAAAAAGCCAAACAATAACATTTTTAAGTTATCTAAGTGACTTATATTATGTTTAACCTGAGTAGCGAAAGACGGCGGTGGGTTTGAAAACGATTTGCTGGGAGTCCGGTGTTCTCACGGCTCTAGTGAGCCTTGCCCCCGGCTAGCTATCGAGCTAGTGGGTAACAGACGTCTCCGAAAACGTCGGAGCGCTTTTGAAAATATGTGGTGTCTTGATAAACTGAGCAGATATTTGAGGTTTACACAGCTACATTCTCGCCTGAAAATATGTTAAACGTTTATTTTGTGACCCAGAAAGAATAATAAGAGTAATATTAAAACTAACTAGCTGCCGCCATTGTTGGAAACTGAGCTGGGCGCGCTATGAATTCTGGGACACAGCTTCTTCTTCTTCGGGGTTTAACGGCAGCTGGCATCCTTGTACATGCAGTGCTGCCATCTTCTGTTTCAGTCCGTTATTACACTCTTAAATCCTACTACTTATTCCTGCGTCTTTTGTGATCTTACAAACT